TTTTTTCGCTGTTGTCTAATTTACCAAACTTGTCCATGTCACACCCTCTCTGTCTCATTTCCTCCTCGAGATCCTCTCTTTCCTTCCTGTACAACTCACACTCCCCAACTATGTGGGGTCTACTCTCCTCCGATTTGCCACATGGACATGTGTGTCTATCCTCCTCTTCCTCTCTCCTACGGCTGGTATACCTCTTCCTCCGTTCTGGCAAGTCCAGATCGCCTACTCGAAATTGCAATTTCAGCTTTTTCGCATAGTCCATGGGGCCGTCCAAGTACTTCTTCATCCCTATCCCTTCTTTCAACTTCCCGTATATCTCCAAGTGGTCTTCGCTTCGTACCTTCTTCCGAAGGGTTGCCTCCTCCCTACTCTCTAGCATCTCCTTGACTTTCGTCTTGAACCCCCCGAACCCTTCCGTGTCCAACGTCTCCTCCTCGTCTCCTATCTCCTTCCAAACCTTCTCTACCACCTTGTCCCATCTGATTCCCTTCTTCCCTGGAGTCGCTTTTCCCCAAGCTGCCTTGTCAACCATGGCTGGTAGTCTATCGTCCGACATTCTACTTACCTTGTACTGCCAATTCAACTTCTGCATGTCTCTCTTTGTTTTAAGAGAGTACATTCCCAACTCTGCTCTCAATACAGTGTTGCTCGTTGTACTTGAACATCCTAGTATTTTCTTGGCCGCTGCCATCTGCACCGTTTCCAGCTGCTTGACGGCCTTTTCGTTACCTTCCAATATCTCTCCTACATACTCTAGCTTAGGTACAATCACATTCAAGAGAATACACCTCTTAATCCTAGTGTCTAGGTGTGGGTCCGTAAGGATCTCGTCCATCTTGCCTATCTGAGCTTTACTCTTCCCAATCAACTTCGCTATGTGTGCGTCCCATGAGCACTCCTTCGAAATCTCTACTCCCAGGTACGTATACTTGTCTACTACCGGTAGTTCTTCCTCCCCCCATTTCCATTTGAATTCTACGGGATTTTTCTTATCTTCGTTACAGACCACTACTGCGCATTTTCCTACGTTCGCCGACAGTCTCCATTTTCGGGTGTATCCTACCGCCGCATCTATTTGTTCTTGCAACCCTTCTGGTGTTTCGGATACCCCCACGAAATCATCTCCAAACATCAGTCCGGACACACTCTTTCCCTCTACTTGGACTCCCTGTCTTACTGCTTCAACCGCCCTTATCAAATCGTTGATGTAAATCTTAAAAAGAGTGGGTGACATCGTACAGCCCTGTGCGACTCCTTGGAGTATATCCATGTACTTCGAAATTTCCCCATCCAACATCACCGCACTTCTTGTGCATTCTGTCATCTTTTTCAACATCCTTCACATTTTCCCCCGGATGCCGATGTCCCACATCTTTTTCCACAATCCATTGCGCCATACGGTGTCGTAGGCTTTTGTATATCGAGGAAGAAACAGTATGTCGTACGCCCGGCGTCTTTCCTACCTTGGATGATGTTACTCAACGTATATACATGGTCTACACAACTACGATCTGGTCTAAATCCAGCTTGTCCTTCGCTGATCTTTTGTTTCCCCTCCAACATGTCTCCCATTCTATTGTCTATCATCTTGCCAAACAGTTTCCCCACTGTGCTCAACAGGGTTATCCCTCTATAATTGGGGGGGGGGGATCAGTATCACAGATCTCCAGCCCTTTAATGAAAGTCATGCACGTGCGTGGAGAATGAGAGGCTGTTGTGATCATGTGGGGAGCACGCAGAAAAAGGAGACGAGTAACAGAGAAGGGGGGGGGGGGGGGGAAAAAAAAATGCAGTTTTCCAAAAACTATACCCCCTGGATGTTTTTCATGAAAACGGAAGGAAAAAACGGGAAAGGGGGGCCGGACAACCCCCCAAAAAAGGGTCTCGTACCTCCAAAAAGAAAACAAAAACGCCCCCACAAAATCGGCATTTTTACTCTTCTACTTCTCTCCCCCCCCCCACCCCCCCCCCCGTAAAAAAAAATTTTTTTATCCCCCCCCCCCGCGGGTTAAAAAACAAACCCCCCAATTTTTTTGTGGCCGGGGGGGCCTGGTTTTTTTGGGGGGTTTTCGCCCCCCTAATTGCCCCAAGCCCCGCCACCCCCCTCGGTTTGGGTTTGTGTTTTTTTTGTTTTTTC